CGACCTGGCGGCGAACAGTATTTGGCAAAAGTCTTAGATCCAGCCCCTGTTGCAGAAACTGGAGAATATAAGGAATAGAAGCCTGTAGAGGAACAATGCCCTTTGTATGGCACCAGACAGAGAATTGAGTCCAAGTGGCGTCATAAATGCGGTTAGTAGAAGAGCGCCTGGAGGCTTGAATTGTGTGAATGACCTCGGCGGACAGATTCGCAGTCCTTAGAGCTTCCCACTCAACCTCCAAGCGGTGAGACGCAACCAAGGTAGGTCGGGATGTTGGAACGACCCTTGGAGGAGCAGCGAGGGGAATTGAGGCAGTTGCCACGGTGGAGCTACAGAGAGGTTCATGAGGTCGGCAAACCAAGGCCTGCGGGGCCACCAGGGCACAATCAAGATTAGTTCTGCCCTTTCCACCAGCAGTTTTCGCACCACTCGCTGAATGAGGGGGAAAGGCATACAGAAGGCCCGGAGGCCACTCGCTGCTCAGAGCATCCACGCCCTCCGCCCCTAGAGTCGCATAGCATGCAAAATACCTTGGTAGCTGAGTGTTGTCCTGGGAGGCAAAGAGGTCGAAAACCGGAAGTCCGAACCTGACCCTCAATTGTTGGAAGATGCGCCGATGTAAGCTCCACTCTGCTGGATCAATGTGCATGCGGCTGAGGTCATCTGCCTGAGTATTTTGGGCCCCCAAAATGGAGGAGAAGAGGTCATTGGGCCGAATGCTCTCCAGAATGGATAGCAGAGAGTGCATAAAAACCCTGCCCCTGTTGCTCAAAGGGCACCTCCTCGATGGCCTGAATTTGGAGGAGATGACCGATAGCTAGTTCAACCAGATGTTTTTTGAAAATGTCCCTGGAGACAGGATATGGTATGAAGGTCTGCGGGGGACTGGAGAGAAATTCCAGGGCCAGGCCAAAACGGACAGTACGCCTGATCCAGGAGTCGCTGGTGACGTCATCCCAGTGATCAGCGAAGGCTGACAGACATCCCCCAATAGAGAGGTTTTCAGAGATTTCACTTCTGCTTTTGAAAGGTATGGTTTGAGCCACCCTTGAAGGGCTTTCGATAGGAGAATCGCTGGGAGTTCCAGTTGGATCTGTCTTGGAACTGATAGCCCTGTCTCGGGGGAGCCTGGCTCTGAGGATGGGGATAGGCAAATCCCCCATCCAGAAGAAAGAAGATGATTTAGGGTCAGTCTTGCGGTTTGCAGAAGGAAGCACCTTGTGCTTGTCCTTGGACTCTACCAAGAGAGGTTCCAAAGGTGGACCAAAGAGCAGACCAGGTGAGAAAGGGCCGCCAAATGCCACTTTGCTCTGGCCTCTGCCTGCCACTGCTTCAACCAAAGAAGATGCCTCGTGGTGATTGTAGAAGCCATCGACCTGGAGGAGAAACAAGCCGCATCCAGAGAGGCATCCGCCATGTACTCCATTGCCGCTTTGAGCTTGTTGATGTCCTGGTGAGCGCGGGAATCACCAGGAGGGATCCTGTCCTGCATCTGCTTCAGCCAACGAAGAGCTGCCCTGTTGAAAAAGGAAGCATGGGCGGACTGATGGCCCTTCACCAGTGATTGCTCAAAGCGTTTGTCCTCAGGACGGAGAGGGTCCTCTGGAGCATTGGTTGGGAGATCACAGAAAAACCACAGGAAGATCAATGGAAGGAACCTCCAAAAGTTTAGAGAGCTCTGGGCTGACATTGTACAACTGTTTGTCCAGAGTAGAAGGGAGGGGTCCTGACCCCGGAGAAACCCACTGATTTTGAATCACCGTATTTTCACCCATATAACCCGCCCACGCAAATAACCCGCCCACGCGAATAACCCGCGGGTTTTCGGGATCGTGTAAAATATTTTCCGTATACCCC